CCCGTGACCCAAAGCTCAATATATCGCAAGTCACAGCTCGCGATATACTGAGACCGCCGTAGCCGGGACGGATCCCGACATTACTATCGGGTTCCACCCAGCTGCGTGAGTGACAGCTGGCTCTGCCTATCCAGAGACAGAGCCAGCTGTGCCCGCCCCCTCCCCATCCGTTCCTCCAGTCAGCACTGGAGGATCGGAGCAGGGAGGGGGGGAAACCCTGCAGGGAGCCGTGAGTGGCAGTCACGGCTCTCTGCAAGGTCAGGATCGAGAAGTGAGCGAGTGGCGGTATGTGTTCGCTCACTTCTCGATCTATTGAGCCGACGTGTGACAGTTTCATTGTCACGTGTCTGCTGGAACTATGAGGTTGACTGAAAATCACTCACCTCATAGTTCCCCTTTAAGGATGGAGATCCAACAGACCATGTCTTCTTTCTCTTGTTTGGTGGTCGGTAAAGGAATGAAATAACTAGCTCAGTATGGAAAGCAGACTCCATGCAGCTTCCCTTAGCTCATTCTAGTATTAGAGTTCTATGAACAGTTCTGTGCTCCTCCTTCAGGTCAAAGACACAGTCTCTCAGCTGCAGCGTCCAACTGAGTATCAAATCCAAGTGAAGTCTCATTCAACTATTAAAGACCACCAAAAACCCCCACATGGGGTACGCACTGACTATATGACCACATAAGGTTGGACTTGGTTAGTACGTGGGTGGAGGACGGCCTCTGCTGCGAGGATTCACTTGCAATGTGCCTCTGAACTTGCTAGAAAACATGACACCTGCAGGAAAGTCAATGCCCTAGCACAGCCCCCTCCTTGCACATCATAGCCCTCTCCACTTCTGGGAGTGTCTAAGTACTGTCTATGTTGGCCCAGCTCCTCCACCCCTTCCTTTGCCTCCCTGCATAACCTTGGGAGAGGATCAAAAAAGGGAATACTATATAGAGTCACTTGAGTGACAGCTCTGAGTCTGTTGGGGCTGCTGACATCACATCCAAGATGGCGGCACCCAGCAGCAGTTTCAGGGCCTTTGGATGTCTACACAAGGGAGGCTTTTACAGGTCAAGTGTAGAGATGAGCTTAGGTGTGGGCCAAACCAAGTCCAAACCTGAGCTCATCGGAACCCAGAAGAAAGCTCCTTCTGACGCTGCCCAATCAGCTGTGGCCGTCAGCTGCACATGAGCAAAGGGGCAGGATGTAGTGACGTAATTGACCTTATAGGGCCACATGGCTATATTTGGTCAATAACATTCACCCAATATTCCATGCATGGGGCCATATAAGCTTAAATATGAGGTCAATGACCTTATAGGGCAATGTGGCAATATTTGGTCAATGACATTCACCAATATGTCCATGCGTGGGGCCATATAAGGTCAATGACCTTATAGGGCAATGTGGCTATATTTGGTCAATGACATTCACCCAATATGTCCATGGAAGGGGCCACGTAAGGTCAAATATAAAGTCAATGGCCTTATAGGGCCACAAGGCTAGATTTGGTCAATGACATTCACCTAATATGTCCATGCATGGGGCTATAGAAGGTCAATTACCTTATAGGACTAAATGGCTATATTTGGTCACCTAATATGTCAATGGGGCTATAGAAGGTCAATGATGCCAGCACAAGCACCCTGCCCCTTGACTTAAGCGCAGCCCTGGCCCACAGCTAAATGGGTTGGTGGCCCCCATGCCTCTTCTGGGTTTGGAGATCAGGTTCATATCGGGTTTAGTTGAGCCCTATTTGGGTGTTTCAGCAGATAGAAGTCATAGCCCGTAAAGAAACAATGTATTCCCCGCATAAGATACATAAAGCATGAACAGCTCCGGCTTCTCCTAGAAAAAAAAATGACTTCTCCGAAGTCTGCTTAGATCTTTTTATTGGTATTTCTCTTTAATATTTAAAATATGTGGTGACAACAACCCCCATCCTCCGGCCAGGACACACGTTTTTTATAAATGGATGAATTAATGAAGGATGTTGTAGCCGGGCCCCCCGTCCTCCGGGAGATATGCCGTGTCCGCCTCCCTCCTCCGATTACACGGGAAGAACAGCCATTGCCCTTTTCACATATTCATCCCACTCTTATCACATCATCTGCTGGAAGAGGCCGCAAGCTCGGCTCCGGGGGGTGAAATCAACTCGGATCATCTCGGTTTTCGGTTTCGCAGCTCGGACAAAAAAAAAAAATTGGCCGGCGCTTGGAAACAAGATCTCCAAAATTTCCATGTGGCCTTTGTGTGGGCCGAGAGATGGAATTGTGAATTCTGCCGCCTTTGTGCGCGGAAAACCCGAGCTGTTTGTGTTTATTGTGTATCCAAATTTGGCTTGCAGCACTGAGACGGAACTCGGGATAGGAAAAGGACTTCTTAAAGTCAACCTGTGTTGAAAAATCAACCCCAATTGTCCCCTCCCCCCAGTATAGCAGGCTGCCTGGGATGGGGGTTTATTAATAAAGTTCCACTAGAAGACATTGACGAGTATAGACATTTCCCATGCTCATCAGCGCCATCTAGGGGAGCTTGTGCCATAGGAATAGTCAAGCCGAACTTTTGTAAATGAACCCCTAAGTGCAGGGCTGCCTTGGATGGGGGGTTCATTAATAAAAGTTCAACTAGCGCCCCTAGATGGCGCTGACGAGTATAGAAATGTTTCATGCTCATCAGCGCCATCTAGGGGAGCTTGTGCCATGTGCATTGCCAGGCAGAACTTTTATAAATGAACCCCTAAGTGCAAGGCTACCGGTACAGCCAGCCCTTCCGTACTGTGCCCGGGCCCCTATGAGGACAACAGGGAGGCCCAGCAGGGGCTACCCACATACCTTTCCCCAACAAGAACTCCCTGAGATGCCTGCACAGCTTGTCAATTACAAGTGATCTGGGCGGTGGGGGGCTCCTGCCGGGTAGGCTGTACGCGGCCACATGATTCCTAATGGCGGCCCTGTGTGGGTGT